GGGTTGGGTTGGGGTGGTCTGGTAGGCAGTCACCAGTCGGGCCAGGCGGGTCCTCTGCGGGCGTCTTGGGGGCATTTCTGCGGCCGTCTGCCAAGGAGAGCGGGACTCTTGCTCGCATTCACTGTCCGGAGCCCCTCGCGGTGCCCTCACGCGGAATACCGCGGGACTGCCGTGAAGGGAAGCCACGACGACGAGAATGCCGAACCCATGGACATTTGTTGCGGGGATCTCCTTGGGGAGTTCAGGGGCCATCCCAAGGCTATCTCAGGAGGCATGCCGGAGGAAGTCATTGGCCACGTTGCGCCTCCACCACCCCCATCACCGCCACAGCCACCACCGCCGCATTCGCGCCAGGGTCACCGCCGCTGTCATGGCCGCTGTGTTGTGCCCGAAGTTGGCTCACCCAGCGCGGTGGGGTGCGCCAGTTAGGACATGCTATCGACGACGGTCGATCAGAAGAGGAAGAGGTACCCATACCTCTACCCTCTACCCTTCCCTCGTGTTCCGCTTTTGGGCCTCCTAGGAGGCCCTCGTCGCCACTGCTGAATTCGCCTCGAAATCCTGATCAGAACGCACCCCCGGATAGGCCCGGGGAGTAGCGGTATCGGTACTTTTTGGCTTCCCCAGTCGAGGGTGGGCAGGCACGAGGGCGCGGTCGTCATTTTGCCCGTCCGCAGGAGGCTGCTGCGGCGAAGGCGCAGCCGGCGGCGAAGGACTGCCCTCGTTTCTGCTGCTGGTGCCCATCATGATCAGTGCTCTGCTGATGCTCGGTCCGATCTACATTTTCCTGCTTAGCGTATTCGATCATTGCGGCTCGTCGCATTGTGTGGCCATGCGATCCACATTCTCCTCCTCGCACGGACTTTCAGGGCAATCCAAGGCTCCCTATCCCACCATTTGCCTGCCACTGGGATGCGTCCGATCTCGTCGATTCGTTTGACTGCATTTCATGTGACGGTCCGTTCGACGATCCGTTATTTTTGTTTCGTTCTGGTTTCGTTCGATGTCGCCAGACGGCCATACGCTTGGTTGATTATGCCGCGTCGTCATGGATGTTTACTCACCCTGATGCGATTATTGCCATGGAAACTGCTGTGTTGTTTTATTCAAGACGCTTCGCGTTCACCGCCCGCCCATTCCAGTTCTCGCCGGACGAGGCGAAGACGGCTCCATGACGGGATAAACATAGGCAGGAATTCATACAAGTCGTGTGCTTGGTTGTTTTTGTCCCGTCTTCTCTCTTCCTATGCTATCGCCTACTATGCTCAGGCATGCCTCGTGGCTGTTCGACAGTAGGTTTGTCGTGCTTGCTACTGTTAGTGGTGGTGGTGTTGCGGCTGGTGTTGCTGCTGGTGTTGCTGGTGTCGCTCCTGCTGGTGGTGCGGTGCAGTGCGGGTGCCGCTGCTGCTGTTGGTCCTACTTCTGCTGCTGCTGCTGGCGCTGCTGGCGCTGGTGCTCATGGTGCCGGTGTTAGTGCTGCTGCTGCTTGTGGTGCCGCTGCTGTTGTCAGTGGTGGTGGTGCTGCTGCTGCTGCTACTGGTGCTGGTCGCAGTGGTGGTGCTGCCGCTGCTGGTGGTGCTTCTGCTGTTGACGTTGCTCTCTGGGGGGCCTGTCGGGGTGCTGCTGAGGCTCCGTCGTTGACCTCTTAGGGCTCCTCTGTGTCGGGTGTCACGCGCGCCCGATATCTGAGAGACGTGAGTGGGCGCGCAGCGTTTTGTGTCGGTGTGCGGGCGTCAGCAGGTGTCAATGGCGGCATGCTCCCGTGGTGGGCTGGTGTCATGCGGTGGCGTGGCATTCTCGTAGTTTTGTCGCGCTTGTGCAGTCGACTGATCCGATGGTAGGGAAGGCGGCATGCTCCCGTGGTGGGCTTGTGTCATACGGTGGCGTGGCAGTCTCGTGGTTTTGTCGCGCTTGCGCAGTCCATTGATCCGATGGCAGGGAAGGTGGCTCTTGAAGTGGGTTCTCCAATGGCTGACCAGATGACTGGCCCGAGGTGTGCCGTGGTAGATGTCTGGGTGCTTGTCCCGACGGTTGCCCGGATTCTTTTCCCGTTGCTAGTCTCGGCGGTTGCCCGAGCGGTTGGTTGCCCCGACGGTTGCCCTGGCGGTGATCTTGCCGGCAAGGCGCCAATAAGGGCCGAAGAGGAACCCGAAAAGGGCCCAAAAAGAGGCTAATTCGCCGGCCCAACGGGCCAGAGGCGTGCTAAGGTCTCCGGTAACTGGTTAACAGTATCTCTAGTTCGCGCGCGCGGGGCGGCCCCTGGGGGTCCCCGGACGAAAAGTACCCCGGGCGATCCCCGACCGACCCCCGAGCGATCCCCGGGAGATTCCCCCAGAGCGCTCCAGGAGCGCTCCAGGAGCGCACCAACAGGGCTCCGAGACGTCCCCGGAACCCTCAAGACGGGTCCAGATGCCCCCAAGAGGCTCCCAAGATGGTACACAAGGGTTCCGAGATGCCACATGATCGCTCCAAGACGCCCAAGATGGCCCCCAGACGCCCCAAACGGCCTCCAAGAAAGAGCACTCCCAAAAGGGCCCCAAGAAGCAACATTCATAGCTTTTCCTTAGGTTTTTGATAGATTTTGGAGCTTCCACCTTTTCGGCTTCCCGACGCCCCAAGACGGCCCAAGAGGCCCCCAAAATCGCCCCAAGAGGGCCCAAGAGGCCCCCAAGAGGGCCCCAAGATGGCCCAAGAGGGCTCGAAGACGGCCCAAGAAGCCTCCAAGACGGTCCAAGAGGGCCCCAAGAACGCCCCCAAGGGGGCCCCAGAGAGGGAACACGAAACAACATTTCGAGCCCTCGGCCCTAAGAAGCCCCCACGAGGCCCCAAGAGGCCCCTAAGAGGCCCCAAGAGGCCCCCACGAGGCCCTCAGGAGGCCCCCAAGAGTCCCCCAAGCGGCCCCAGGAGGCCCCCCAAATGCCCCCCCGAGCGCCCCAGGAGTCTCCCAAGCGGCCCCAGGAACCCCCAAATCGCCGCATTGACACCAGGCCCTCGGGCAAACGGCAGACATGAGACTGTATGGGCCGGCGGAATGAGCGAAGCGATTAAATAAGGCCCCGAGGCGGTCTGGGGGAAGCCCAGGGCGGCTCAAGCGACAGCACTTCCGCGTTGGGTCGCAACCGCGTCCGTCTTGCAGTAAAAACCGCGCGGGGTCTGACCTGGTTTTGCGGCCCAACATGGGCCCCGCAGCGCCCAATATGGACCCCGGAGCGCGCCCAAAAACGGCGAACAAAAGGGAGTGATGGAAAATGACGCACGCGAGCCCGGAAGTCAACTGTAAGCAGCGTCCTGGACAGCCCCGGGGAAGCCGAAATCAGGCCAAAACCATAGTATTTGCTATGTTTTTTGACATCCCCACGTGTCGGCGAGAATGAGCAAAAGAGGCGCTGTCGAGGGCTCCGGGAGCGGATATTGGAGGCCAAGAAGGGGCCCCGACGGGGCCGAAATGGAGCCCACAGGCGCCCCGGCAGCGTCTTCAGAACGATACCCAGTTCGAGCTTGTCTTGGACGCCGTCGTGGAGCCGTTTTGGAAACCGAAAAAGGGCATTGCCGCAGCTGGGCGGCGGAATGGCGGAGGCCGAAGCTGCTGTTTTGTTTTATTCCGGTGGCTTACGCCATTCCGCCGACCGCCAGGAGGAGTCGGCGTTTGCAGCGATCGTGGAAGTTATCAACGACGCATGCGGCGAATCACTGCCGCCCACTGGCTTTCAGGATACGCCTATGTGGTTAGACGCTACTGGAACTGAAGAGGAGACCTCTTGGAAGCTTCTTGGGTCACTCGTGGGGCCTCCTGGGAGGTTCCTGTGGGCCTCTTGGAGGCCTCTCTGGGGCGGCATTGGGCCTCTTGGGTGTCTTGGGGGGCTTAACGGGGGCTTCTCTGGCAATCCTATAGCATTCCTGGCCCGTCCAACGCCGTCGGAAGCCGTCTTGGGAGCCTCTCCTGGCCGTCTTGGGGCCCTCTTTGGGCGCTTCAAGGTCGTCTTGAACGCCATCTTGGGTGCGGCCCTCTTAGGGGTTGTCTTGGAGGCCTCTTGGGCGCTCCGGGGGCGATCTTGGGGGCCTTTTGGGCCCTCTTGGGCGGTCGGAAAACCGGAAAAAAACAAATACCGCGTTCTGTCAAACAAAAACTTACATTTTCATTGATTAGTGCCTCTTCGGACTGTCCTGGAGGACCTTTTGGAGGCCTCTTGGGCCGTCAGGGAGGCCTCTTGGGGGCCTCTTGGACTGTCTTGGGCCTTCTTGGAGCCATCTTGGTCCGTGTTGATGGCCTTTTGGACGGACTTGGAAATATCGTGGACTCTCTGGGGCCGTCTTGGAAGCCATTTGAACCATCTTGGGCGATCACGGAGGCCATCTTCGACCATTTTGGCCGTTTTGGACGCCAGATCGGCCGTTTTGGACATTGTCTTTAATGCAGCGGCGCGGCCTTCCAGGTGGCCGGCGCGCTGGCCGAAGCCCCAGGGGAAGTTTGAAAAGGAGCCAAAAACGCACAGTAGGCATCCCTGTGATAAATCAACAGGGGGCGGCGGATCAAGTGGCCTTCGGCCCAACCCGCCACTGTGCCTCGGCTGTGGGTCAGGAGCCTCTTGGATGAATGAGGGTCTCTCAGGTGCCTCTTGGAGGGCTCTTGGGTGCATCTGGAAGGCTTTTAGGGCCTCTTTGGGGACTCCTGGGGGCGTCGTTGAGGTGTCTTGCAGGCCTGTTGGGTCCTCGTGTGGGCTCATCGGGGGCCTCTTGTGCCATAGCTGTTGCTGTTCTATATCCTGTTCTTTCGACGACTTTTTCCGTTCCCATTCTTGCCGCTTGTTCTTGCTTCTCCGAATGTTTCCGCTGCGCAGCGGAGCCTCCTTTCCATTCGTATTCCCCAGGGGCGTTCAACGTTTTAGGAGCCTGTAAGCTAAGACCTCCAGGAGGCCTTGGAACGCACCCGAGATGCAATTGCTGCTGTTGGCGCGTTTCCATGTCTCGCCCGACTCGCGTTGATTGCCTGTTGTCGGTTCACAGCGCGGCCGCAATCGGGCTCTTGGGGCCCAGGATCCCTTGCCAGAGGGTGGCATGCGCCTGCGCCACAAGCGAAGATCGTTTCTCCCAGCACGAAGCCCCTGCTGACGCCACGTTGAGACGACCCACCCACGATGTCGTCTCCTGGATGCTTGTGTGCCCGACCAGGTGCAGGTTGCGTAGTGAGTTGCATTCGGAGTTGTGGGAGCAAGATCGTTTGACGGACATGCTGCTTGACCTTTTCTCCTCCCCTCCTCCTCATCCCCCCCCTCTCTCTCCTTCAGTCCCTGCCGCCAGATCTCAGAGATTCCTGATTTATCCTCACCCGATGTTATCCTCGTCCTAGATTCGTCTTACTCTTGGGCAGTGCTGGGGCTGCCTCGGGTGCCTCTTGTGGCATCGCTGGGTCCTCTTGGGTCATCTTGGTGCCCTGTTGGGGCCCTCTTCAGCCGTGTTGGGGCCAATGTGGAGACTTCTTGGGCCGTATTCAGCTGACGAAGATAAGAATCACGTCAACACGAACATCGTATCCAACAGCACTGATTTGGAAATCAGTGATTTGGGTGTCTGCTGTCCCTGATCAGTTTTCTCTCGCCATCCTGCCTTGCGAGCGCGGGGCGCTGACCCATCGTAGTTCATGAGGGATCATCGTGGCCTCGGAGGCGCGGATCCATCGTTGTTCGCACACATCCTAAGAGTGTCCCATCATCGTCATCACCATCATTTATCTAATGGCCTTCGGCCCACTCCGTCACCGTGCCTGGGTCGTGGGTCAGAGTTCGCAGGGATGCTTCCTCGGGTCTCTTCGGATTGCTCTTGAGGGCCTCTTGGGAGCAGTTTGGGAGCCTCTTTGGAGCCTCTTGGGAGTAATTTGGGAGACTCTTGGGGGCCTATTGGAGCTTCTTGGGGGCCTCCTGGGGGCCCATCAGGGTCGAGGGCTCGACATGTCCGTTCGGGTTCTCCAGCTGGACCCCCTCTTGGGGCCGTCTTCGGGTCATGGGCCGTCTTGGGGCGTCGGGAAGCCGAAGAGACGAGAGCGCCCAAACCCTTCAAACAGTGAGGCCTCTGGGAAGCCTCTTGGGGCGTCCTGGAGACCTCTTGGGCCGTCGGGACGCCATCTTGGGCGTCTCGGAGCGATCGTTCGGCGCCCTCTTGGCCCGCCTTGGGAGCCTCTCGAGGCTCCTTTGGTTCCTCTTGGAGGCCTCGTGGGCCCGAGATAGACGTACGACAGGGCTCCCTGGAGCCCAGCGGTCACGCAGGTGACCCGAGGGGCCACGCGCCAAGCCCCGGGAGAGCTGAGAACTTGGGCTTCAGGTCCTTTCGGCACTCTTCTGGACTGGGGATTGAGGCCGAGAGGATTGGGCAGGAGACCCTCGGACACGCCCGCTCCGTGCCCAGCGGCACGGTGGCGGATCGTCGCCATGATTGCACACGCTCGCTGCCGCACCCAGTCACAGACACACACATACACATACATCCACTCGAACACACCCTCCCGCAGTCCGCACGCACTCACACGCTCACTTGAAACTCACTCGCTCACACACACTCATTGAGGAGCTCTCGAGCGGGAGTCTCGTTTGTGAGCAAGTTTTGAGGAAGTCTCAGGCGGGATCCCCCTCCTCGTGGGGCCTGCACTTCATGTTCTCAGCCAGATGTGGCCACACGAGTACAAGAGACACGCACATGGTTCCGTGATCGTCGAGCCGCCCGATTCTCCATTCCCAGTACTGTATAATTCACATGTCTGGAGTCAACTGTAGGCCCATTCGTGTTCCTCGAGCTCCCAGAACTCCACTCCCAGGCCTCATGGTGCATGTCCGACACCCGCTGTAAGCCATGTCGAGCGCTCCGTGCTCTCTGAGCTCCACTCCTGTGGCTGATTCTGAGAGTCCGGAAGTAATCGTAAGCAGCTTCGGGTAATTCGTCTCTCAGGATCTCTTTCCTGATGTTGGTTTTGCGCTTTCGTCCTGGCACCCTTGGTATCCTAACCTCATTGGTATCTCCGGTGTCCCTGGCGCCCTGGCATCCCTGGCATCCTGGCGTCTCTGGCATCCAGGCACGGGCCCTGCAGATTTGACAGTCTCGCAGGTCCCACAGGCCCCGCAAGGCACACGCCCCGCACGTCGCACAGGTCCTACAACTTCGACGTGACTCACAAGTCCCATACAGCCCCATTGCCTCCCAAGTCCCACATGTTCCGCAGGCCCGACATGTCCGGGTCAACAACGTTCCACAGGTCGCATGGGCCCAGCATGTCCCACAGGTCGCACATGTTGCACAGGTCCCACTGGACTTTTTCGATGCTGGCCTTCTGGCATCCTGGCATCCCGGGCATCCTGTGCTCTTGCCATGCTGTCATCGAGGCCTCCTGGCCGGCTGGCTTGCCTGGCATCCTGGCATCCTGGCGTTTGGGTGTCCTGGCTTCCTAGAAACCTGGCGTCCTAGCGTTCTGACATGTTGGTCTGGGTAGTCGAAGGCCAGACTGTCAGACTGGATTGGGCCCCAAGGGCTAATCTGGCCTGGCCATATTGGAGGATTGGGGTTATTCGCCAGACTGGATTCGCGCTGGCTCCCTCGCCAGATTGCCCCCGTTTGCCAGATTGGGCCTGCCAGATTGGCGCCAGATTGGCTTCGACTACCCAGGTTTTGGTGTCCTGGCTTCCTAGAAACTTGGCGTCCTAGCGTTCTGGCATGTTGGTTGGCATCTCAGCATCACCGTCCTTCGTTAGTCGCTGGTGGTCGCGCACAGGTGAGCCAGGGTGAGCCTCATGCGGGATGGCATCCTGGCGTTTTGGTGTCCTGGCTTCCTAGAAACCTGGCGTCCTGGCGTTCTGGCATGTTGGTTGGCATCTGAGGAGGAGGAGGAGGAGGAGGAGGAGGAGGAGGAGGAGGAGGGAGGAGGAGGAGGGAGGAGGGAGGAGGGAGGAGGCAGAGGAGGAGGGGGTGGGGAGGAGCGAGGAGGGGGGGGAGGTTGGTTGGCAGCTGAGCATCACCGTCGTTCGTTGGTCGCTGGCTGTCGCGCACAATGTGAGCCAGGGGTGAGCCTCATGCGGGGCCCCACCGTCGGAGCAATTTATGTTTGGCCGTGGCCTTGGGAAAGGGGGCGGTGCATTCGCTAGTCTGCGACGAGAGGGGTTGCTCTGTAAAAGGATTTCTGGGTAGTCGAAGGCCAGACTGTCAGACTGGATTGGGCCCCAAGGGCCAATCTGGCCTGGCCATATTGGAGGATTTGGGTTATTCGCCAGACTGGATTCGCGTTGGCTCCCTCGCCAGATTGCCCCCGTTTGCCAGAGGAGGGGAAAAAACACACAGACACAATTACTCGTCGACTCCCAAGAAAATATTGGAAAATATGGGACGTGGGGGGGAAGACAAAAACCCAGAAACTATTTGAAAATATGGGGAATCCTTTTATTAGTGTGGATTTATTTGTGTGTCCCAGTTTCCCTTCAGATTTATGTTTGGCCGTGGCCTTGGGAAAGGGGGCGGTGCATTCGCTAGTCTGCGGCGAGAGGGGTTGCTCTTGTAAGAGGATCTAGGAGCCGCCCTACCAGACAGTCTTTAGTGTTCTGTTGCGCCGCAAGACACGGCGGCGAGTTGTGCACACCCCACCCTAACCTGAGCACTTATCCGAATCGCTGGCTTCTCAATGAAAGGGTTTGGTTCGAAAACCGCGACTCTCAGCTCTATTTAGGTGCGGTCTCTGTCCCTCGACATTCGCCAAGCTCCAAGACAAGTAGAGCCACAGCGCGCGCGATGGGTCTAGCAATGCACACACTTGTTGTCAGCGCGGCCCCAATCTGCCCAACTCCTTGTGGGCGGGCCCTCGAAGGCAGTCGCAGACCGAAGGCGTGGCGCTCGAGGGCCATGGCAACACGGAGTGAAACTCCCCAGAGCCACCTCGTTCGTTCTCAAATCTCGGCGGCGAGTGAGGGGGGGAAGTGAGAAGGAGACGGCCTTCTCAGAAGGCTCGGAAATCCCCGGGCCTTCTGAGAAGTTTACATGGCATTTTCCGGAGACAAGAATCTTCTCAGAAGGCGCTTTGGAGAAGTCCCACCGCCTTCTGAGACGGCCTTCTCCTTCCCACTTCTCCCCCTCGCTCGCCGCCGAAAATCATGGGGCCTTATGTACACTCGCAACTCCACCTTTAGAGCGTCGATTGGCGTTCATTTAGATCGAAGAACGTCGATTAGCGTCAGAGTTGGCGTCGATTCGCAAGAGCCACCAGGATAGTACAGTCGACCCTGATAAGAAGGATGATCGACTTACCAAGGGTACCTTTGCATCCTTGCCTCTTCGGTCATCTTCGGCCCATCCTCGACCACTTTCGATGGCCATCCCCGCTAAAAGAGCCTCGGCATGGGCGTCCAAGGCCCTTGCATCCTCACCTCGCATCCTTACGATATGCGTTGACTGTACAGCCGGACCGAGTTAAACGATCGGGATCGGTTTGGGGAGGCTTCCTTAGTGTTATCCGTGTTTGTTGGATGTTCTTGTGCATCCTGGGGAGGGTATCCTGGGATATTCTGTATATTTTGGCCGATGGAGGGTCTCATGTTCTTGAGGGATGCTCTATTGAGCTAGGTCCGACCTTACCTCGCATCCTACGCCATGCGTTGATTTTGTGGGAGGTGAGAAGGAGAAGGCCTCCTCAGAAGGCACTGAACCCCCCCTGTCTTTGAGAAGTCTTCCTGAGCCTTCCCCGAGGACGCAGAACGCTTCTCGGAAGGCGCAGGGGCCTCTGAGAAGTCTCGCCGCCCCCGAGAAGGCCCTGGCCCTCTCGCTTCCCCAGTTCGCCCGCCGTCGACACCGATGTCTCGGAGCGAAGCCCCCGACCGAGGCCCCCAGCAGTGGCCACCGACGCCTCGGGCCGCGCCCCGCTCCCGAGCGAGCCCCGCTCCCGAGCGAGCCGCCCGAGCGAGCGCGGGTCTCCCCGGCCGCACGGCGCGGAGGACGCCGCGCAGAAGGAGGTGCCCGGGGGCGCGCTGAGCAACGGGACTCGGAGCTCAAGAGACGGGGGTCAGTTCAAACCCCTCCCCTTCACCCCCTCTGTTCTTATTATCCCCGTTTCACAGGATTTGATTGCGGAGAGGGGCGCGGAGGCCGAACTTTATAATCCACGGGAGAAGTTGCGAATCGAAGTTGCTATCATCTCATGTTGACTAGCAACAGCATCAAAAAACGCGTGAGAGCGACCCTTCGCCGGAGTGACCGCTGGTGCGATCGCCGACCAGGCCCCCCGATCGCCGAGCGCGACGCGGTCGCAGCGTCCTGCGTGCTCGTGGCTGGGCCCCCCCGCGGCCCCCGAGAAGCCACGCGCCAGAGGTCTCTCACCCAGGGGTCACTCCTGCGTGCAGCCGAAGACGGGGGTCAGTCAGAGCGCTGGATCTTGCAGGATCCTGCCACGCCAGGGTTGCACTGACCCTGGCTTGGATTGACCCGGGGCAGTAGATCCCCGACGGACCCGGTGCCAGACATGATCGCGATGTCTGGGCGCGATTTGCCAAGAGACCTTGGTGTTGCAATTTTTGTCGCAACGGGCGTTTCCGCGCCGTTTCGGGTCCCGAGACCCTCACAGATCGATCTTGCCCGAAAAACGGCGCGGAAAGATAGTGGTCCGGGGCTCCAGTCGTGATTCTCTGCGATCTTGCAATTGATTTGTTTTCGAGGCGTCGGATCTCAAGGTAATTGGGGGGGCGATAAATGGGGGGGGAGGAAGGAGATCTCTTGGGGCCCCAGCGGGCCCTTTGGGGCCCGAGATGGCCCTTCCAGGAGCCCCAGAGGGCCCCTTATCTGCAGCCCTCGCTGCCCGCCCCATTACTCGCCCGCGTAGGTATTGCGGTTGGCAGTGTGGGCACCAGTCGTGGCTGGAGGTTGTCTGTTGTCGCCTGCCTCTGGGTGCCCTCGCTGGGCCCCGGCACTGTCGACGCAGCGTTTTGGGACGAAGCGCCGGCCCTGGGGAATGGGGCTGATGATGATGACGGTGGTGATGATGACGATGCTGATGGTGGTGGTGCTGCTGCTGGTGGTGATGATGGTGATGCAGATGAGGATGAGGATGTCGATGATCATGATGATGATGCTGATGCTGATGCTGATGGTGCTGGTGCTGATGCTGTTGTTGTTGCTGATGATGGTGATGGAGATGATGATGAGGATGTCGATGATGATGCTGATGTTGATGATGATAAGGATGGCGGTGGTGATGATGATGTTTGTGATGATGATGATGGTGATGGAGATGATGATGAGGGTGTCGATGATGATGATGATGATGATGATGATGATGATGATTCATGATGATGATGATGATGATGATTCATGATGATGATGATGATGATGATGATGATGATGATGATGATGATGATGATGATGATGATGACTATGTGTCGGTGATGACGGTGTTTGAGTGATGCTGGCGGAATTGCGACGATTGTCGATGATCATGGCATGGTGCGGCGGCGCAAGTGAGGATGATGGTGAGCTGAGACACTGCGCGCGTGAAAATCAAAGAGCATGGGCAACCTCTCTGCTGGCAAACCTTTGTTTATGCCTTACGTTTCTGGAGAGCGTTATTTTGAAATGTTGCGGGAACCAACGGTCTGAATTGAGTCGACTGGGTGCGCGCGCGTGGCACGCATTGTATACGTTGTTGCGAGTTTGTGCACTGGGCGCATACTTGAACAATGCGAATGCACCGCGTGATGCAAGCAGAATCTGGTGCTGGGCTGAATTGTGTTGCAATCCTTTCGTCAGAGCTGGCGTGCTTGGTGGGATTTCGGCAGGTTCGCGCGCGCTCGGACTTCGTGGCATAGTTTGCAAGAATCTTTGGAAAACGTGATATTTTGCAATGAACGAGTGCGCGCGCATAGTAGTTGTTTGGCACGGACTGAAGGGGGCGCTGGGCGTGTTGGCCGGCTCATCTGAGGACTGAACGTCGAGGCAAGGTCATAAACAGTTTGCAATGTCCCAGGGGGTGCCAGGAAATCCGGGGGAGATAGTGCTGCAGCGTCTTAATTCTTTCTGGAGGAAGCAATGCCGCGCATGTCATGTGGTGCACTTAGGCCAACAGTGGCACTGGACGGCAACGGGGCTGATCCTCGGCGGACCCCCAAAGCTCGGTGGGTGGCAGCGAGGCGGCAACGGGCGGGAACGTTGCAAAACCTTGGCAGACCTCCCGACGACAACGAGGCAACACTGGGCGGCATTGTGGCGAGACCTTGGTGGACCCCTCCAGCGCCAGGGAGGCAGCAACGGGCGGCGACGCTGCGAAGTCACGGCGGACCCCTCCAACGGCAGGGAGGCGACAGCAGGCGACCGCGGGGCGAAGCCTCGGCGGGCCCCCCCAGCGGCATCGGGGCGGCAACACGCCGAGGCCTCCGCAGATCCCCCCCACGGCAGCGAGGCGGAAACGGGCGGCAGCAGGGGCGAAGCCTTTTGCGGATTTCCCGAAGGGCATCGAGGCGGCAACAGGCGGCAGCAGGGGCGAAGCCTCAGCGGACCCGTCCAATTCCTGGAGGGCCGCACGCCGGAACCCCAAAGCGCAAGCGTTGTTGTCGGAATTGTCCACTTACGTATCCTGCCCCCCCCCCCTCATCCTCCTCCATCCTCGGGCGACGAGATCTATACATATCCACTGCTCCCCGGCCAGGCCCAGCCTGAACCTGGGAGCTGTGTATACGCCCTCCTGGCCGAGCCAGGAGGGCGTGACGTGTACACCGCTGCTGTGTTCAGGATGGGCCTGGCCAGGGAGCAGTGGATATGTATAGATTTCGTCGCCCTACATCCTCCTCCTCATCCTCCCTCCTCATCCTCATCCTCCTCCATCCTCCTCATCGTATCCTGCCCCCCCCCCCTCATCCTCCTCCATCCTCCTCCATCCTCGTCGTCCTCCCTCCGTTGCTGTTTCGGCTCAGGGGGCCAGGCCCGCGTTGGCGAGCCTCTCCTGCGCCCAGACCTCCCCTCGGGTCCGCCCTCCCCCCCCCCTGCCCAGGAGGAGGGGGAGGAGGAGGAGGAGGAGGAGGAGGAGGAGGAGGAGGAGGAGGAGGAAGAAGATGAGGAAGATGAGGAAGAACCGGTGCAGTGACAGGGGGCAGATGCAGGGGCAATAGCAGGGGCAAAAGGCCGTCCTCGTCCAGGGCTCCCCCCGCCGCGCCATGGCCGGCTGGGCCGCGGCGGCCGCGCGGCCGTGGCGCGGCGGCCTCGCCGCCCGCGCGGCCAGGGGCCTCAGTGCCGACGGCGGCCCCGTCAGCGTGCGGCGCGCGTCGGCCTGCCGCATCCTGCGGTCGGAGGTCACGGACATCACCTTCCACTTCTAGGGGAGCGAAGAAGGTCATAAGCATAAAGCTCGGAGGTCCGCGCGGATTTCTCGGATCCGTTATCTGTTCCCCCCTCCCTGGCGCGCGGAGCGCGCCAGGGGCGGCGCCGGAAGCGCCGCCAGGGGGGTCCAGCGCGGATCCGAGAAATCTGCGCGGACTTCCGAGTTTTTATGTTTATGTCATTCTTCGTTCCCCTAACTTCGCTGTCGAGGACTACCTCATGAACACGGCCACGGTCACCTGCCCTCTCCTCTACGTCTGGCGGCCGGCGCCGGTCGTGACCGTGGGCCGCCACCAGAACCCGTGGAAGGAGTGCGTCCTCGCGCGGCTGGAGGAGGACGGCGTGGCGCTGGCGCGGCGCAGGTCGGGCGGCGGGGCGGTGTTCCAGGACCTGGGCTGCAGCGTCTTCACGTTCATCTCCCCGTCCGGGGCCTTTAACATCGACCAGAACCTCGACATCGTCATCGGCGCCCTCCGGCGCTGCGGCGTGCAGGCCGAGAAGAAGGGGCGCAACGACCTGGTGTGCGACGACAAGAAGATCTCGGGCAGCGCCTTCAAGCACGCCCCGGACCGCGGCGTGTCCCTCCACCACGGCACCGTCCTGGTGGACACGGACATGCAGGCCCTGTCCCGCTACCTCACGCCGGACAAGCGCAAGCTGCAGGCAAAGGGAATTGCCAGCGTCGGCGCGCGAGTGATGAACTTGCGCGAGAAGTTTCCCGCGCTGGACCACGGCCAGGTCTGCGACGCGCTGATGGCGGAGTTCAGGGAGTCGCAGGGCGTGCCCTCGCACGACTCCGCCGTGGAGGAGCTCCACGCCGGGTCGGGCCTCGCGCAAGACCCGGCGTTCCTGGCATTCCACCGCGAGCTGAACAGCGAGGACTGGCGCCTGGGCCGCACCCCAGAGTTCACGCACCAGCTGGAGACCAGGATCGATGGCGTCGCGGTCTTCGACGTGCGGCTGCAGATCGTCGGCGGCAAGGTCGAGGACGCCACCATCTACAGCGACGCCCTGTTCCCAGACGTGATCGACCAGGCCATGCGGGCGCTGCGCGGCGCGGACTACGGCCGCCGGGGCCTGCGGATGGCCCTGGAGGGCCAGGCTGCGCGCTTCGCGGAGGACGGGCCGCGCAGGACCCTCGAGGCGCTCACCGAGTGGCTCGTGAGCAACGTCGACGACTGAGCCGAGATCGAGCCTCTGCCAGTGCCGCTGGATGAGGAAGGCCTCTCCTCCTCCCCCCCTTTTGTCCTCCTCTTAAGTCGGGCCTGTCCCCCTACAGGGGGATTTTGGACGAAAATTTCAAAAATACTTGAAAAATACCCCACGATGGCAACACAAACACCCAACACATCGTCGCCAGACTATTTCTTGATTATTTTTGGATATTCCCCCTGTGGAGGAACAGACCCGACTTAATCCTCCTCCCGCTCTCCTGTGGAGCTGCCATCTCGGAGCCAGGCCGCCCTCCTGGTCCTGGCCTCGCCCCTGCCCTCCCTTCCCCTCCGCCCGCCTCGCACCGCTTGCGGGGGGCTCCGTCACGAGCGCGGCCCTGCTGGCAGAGGCGAGAGGCCTCGGGGACATCCAGGGGGGGGTGGGGGGGGGAGGGCGGCCGCGTGCTGCTGGGCCCGCCGAAGGGAGGAGGGGGAGGAGGAG